AGGTGGCAGGATAATAGATGGCTAATGGCTCTGAACACGATATCCTCAAAATCTATCACGTTTTGGTAATTTATGCTCTCATGCCGTGGCAATTTTTCTTGTTTAATCCCAAAACCCATTCAATTTTAGACCTCATAAATCTCTTCTAAACTGAAAAGTATTGACATTCAACTTTCTGGCTTTTCACACTTATTGAGCACAACAGCATTCCTCCCTTATCCACAATAATAATGGAGTGGCTCTGGTGGTGGTGAGCAAATGCATATAAATTGTTCCCTTTTTCTCTTAAACAGGGCAAGGAGGGGAATTTCTTACCATCAAATCTACAAAATTTTCATTCTCTCATTCTTTCTTCAGGGATTTAATTTTATTGCTCATGGGGTGGCTCGTGGCGTGGCAGGCAGCACTATAAATGTACGGACCACTATTGTGATCCCATCTTTGAGAGAAATCTCTCCTGGTATTGAGTATCAAATGCAATGCGTCGTGGAAAGCTTCTAGAGTGTGATCATGACTTAGATTCAAGAAAGTCAGCCCCGACTTCTTCTTGCTGAATAAAACCCAGCAAAGGAGACGATATGTGCATGCACTTGAAGAATGAATGAAGAACTGAGCTTGGGGTGTTCTTATGACTAAACTCATTTCATTAGATTTATCTTACAACATTGGGGGAAATAGTTCAGGGTGAAGTCCAAAAACCTGAAGGAAGTATTACCAGTCTGTTACGAAGGAAGGAAGCCAACAACACACAAGTAATACCCGCCCGCCGTCCCTGTTCATGTCAATTACTTGGTAAAAAGACGAGGAGAGAGAGAGGGTGAGACAGACAGGCATGCGAGATGTATTTAAGAAGCAAAAAAAAGACGATGTAGTCAGTTGAGCCTCCGTGTGGATAGTGAGTGATCCGTTTTAAAAGTATTTTTGGAAACACTCAAATTTATTTTTGGACCGCCTTCTTTGGCCTTCTCGAATAGTGTGCCAAACTTTTAACCCATGTGAAAGTCCTGAGAGAGAGAGAGAGGAAATTACCAACTTTTGAAGTAAGGAAGCACACTACGCAGAAAGATAACTTGGTTGGTATGCACTTTAAGTGGAGCTAAATCTGTTACAGACAGGCAGAAGATGTGTTTTGGGTAATTTAACACCTCGCAAAAATCAAATGTCTTCCACTTGCAAATAACCCAACATTCATTTCATTGCCAACTTATTCCCAACTACGTAACAGAGCTAAACATATGAGTCATCCAACAAAATATCGAGTTTACTTTTAAATCCAGTGTGTGTGAAAATGTGATATTTCATCGATGATTAGATATGGTAACTTATAACATTTGTGGCTTTCCTTAATTGCATGGATGGAAGAACCAACCTCGTGTCTCCAATTATTTTAGCCAACAAATCAAACAGTCCAGAAAACAATGCAGAAGTCAAATCCAATGCACCATATAATGACATTAGTTATAGTTTATATAATATGTTAATTACTGGGCGCTATGGCATGCGGGAGAGAGTGACATGATGATAATGGTCAAGACGTGCATGCATAACCAGGAGCAGGATATGACTAATACTGCCATTTTAATTGCTTCGACGACCAGATCAAGTGGGAACCAAATAGTTCCCATGAGAAAAATATTTCAATCACTCATGCGAGTGAGTATTGTGAGTAGACCAATGCATGCATATCACGTAACTCATCCTCAACACACGGCACAATATCACGGTGCTTGTAACAAGTTGTGACCAATGTTAAATATTGTGGTTAATAATGATGATTAAATTGTGGCCGTTATTTCCCCTACTACTCACTACGAACTAATCCTAAGAATCTTGGTCTACCATGGATGTAGAACCTGTTAAAATCATGCAAAAATCCCGAGGTTGAGCAATATCCCACATTTGCGTCTGCTTTTATTTTACGCAAGTAGTTACCAATCCGAGCTAACCCAACTCCTACATACAAAAATCTGGAGGAGAACCTATCCTTCTACCAAATCTGGCCAAATTAGAATACGTAAACACATTCAGTGTTTATTTTACTGGCAGATTTAATCTGCGCACAGGCATTTTTAAATACTTACAAATATGGTGCAGATGCATATATAAGGTCACTCTACGTAAGCTGCTTTTTGCCACCATGGCCAGAGAATAATAATGTGCAGACAAAACGCCAACTCCGGCTCGAATGACAACTCTGTTGTATATGATGAATGGATCATACACTGTGAATGAAAACCAAGGTTGATTCAACCAACGCAAGGTAAATGAATGATCAAACGACGACATCAAATGGGATTGATACAGAGCAAGTCGTGAATAGAAATTTCAAATACGACATTAACACACGTACATACATCCAACATCCACCGTGTTACACACAGGGATGATCTTTACTGGAGGCTACATTGTGTTTTTTGTCCTGAATTTAGCAACATGAATGAACGTTTATTTGGACTGGAAAGTTACTGCGTCCCAGAAAAGTTTTTGCTGTATAATTCACCAGCCATTAGATCTTTTTTCCTTTCAGCCACCACAACTGCTACTCTACTACGGATGATAAGGATGACTCATGCTTGCCAACATGCAACGCAGCTAACCTAACTAACCCATGCCCCATGTCACGTTTTATTATGCGATGTGAGCAAAAGTGCTGTGATTTTGCGAGGCTAGGTATGTTTTTGTTTACGAAACAGAACCATCCACCCGGTCGAGCTAACAGCTAACTTACTCACGCAAGCCGACATCGCATCGTCTGGAAGTATCACGAACAAAAAGCACGCATCGTCCACCTACCTATTTACCTGCCACTTATGTAACCCACAAGGCAGCCGAAGAGCATAACCCCGTTTTCTGCGACGCAAAAATGGGTGTAAAGTTTAATATTTGCACTCCACTTAAGGGCTCACTCTTGCGAGGACAAGTTCGAAAGCTGTTTTTGTTTTTATCACTGGCAAATGACGTTGGCAAGTTGCTAGCAACGTAACGACGCCACACACTTAGCTAAAAGAGCTACATTAACTTCAAAATGATAAAATTTGCCTCGCGTAACCTAATTTCGTCACTTTTGATTATCATCATCGGATTTGATATGACAGGATCACCGCATACAAACCCTCCGCTCTGCAGTATTTTGCAGAATATGAATCATATCAGCATGACACTGGCCTAACTTGGATAGTTTTTATTATCACACAGCAATGCATGTTTCTCCAATTTCATTCAGGGGTGATAAAAAATTCAATAATAAAATGTCCAGGATAACAGATTTTGTAAGGCTAAAAGAAGTAGTAAAAAAACGATGAAAACAAATATACATTATTCGCTAGCGTAATCTCAAAGAATTAACTTCACAAAGTTGCAAATTCGCCATTACATTTATTTACTACCACGTTCAAACGCTTACAATCGGAAATGCCATGTACATAAAAACTGCACTGCCAGACTATAAAGAAACAATGCTGTGCTGACGACACAACGAGCCATTAACTGCATTTCTGCATCCCATTATTGTACGTATGTAGGCAGTGGCTTTGCTGGGCGTGTAACTTTGACGCAATGGAAAGCCGTCGAATAGCATCATGATCATTCACAAACAACAAACAAGCAAGAAGCGTCATTTCACACAAAACTCAGGTCATTCAAAGAGACTGATGACTAAAAGTTTGCAAATTAAACGTAATTGTTTACCACTGAATTCTAGTGCAATTGCCACTGCATATTAAGAACCAAAGTTAAATTATGTTTAATGTGTAATATATAAAAAATATGATGCAGATAATACACTCATCCCTCTAATTATAATTGCACTACTCGTATAATGTCTCCACCGAGCACTGATTGCGAGTGATTTGCATTTCCAAATAAATATTTATTGTGAAACAATAAATGCTGAAAATGTATCATCGCATTTTAATAAGGAGGAATTGTCTCGCCATTTCAGCAATATATTCTGAAGGTCAGCATAATTCACAATTCCTGTGCACGGACACGAGCTTAATGCAAAGCCTTCATACTGATAATAATATGAGAAAATGCCGATTATTATCAGAGGAAATATCTCAAAATGAATTTCATAAGTTGCTGAATTACTGCATGTTGTAAAATGAACAACTTTCCTTCCTTCGTTAGTGGAGGTGGTGGATGAGAGATTTTGCAACAATCAGCTATTGTGTACGTAGTACGTACTTGGTAAGCTGAGGGATGAGTCATACCTTCAATTTGCCTACGACTCACTTATCTGCTTCGCTTTGCCTTGAAGATGCAAAACAAAGTATTCCGCGTGCAGTTTAGTCACCCCCGTTTACAGTTTACAGTGTTTACAACAATCATCATGCATGTATCCTTGCACGTATATTGCCTAAATATATGTATGCGATTTTGACAAATTGCATTGTTTTTATGCAGTGCGAAATAGCATAGTGTTTAGTCTAAAGTCAATAATTTATGACCGTTAGACCGAGTTGGAGCGATAATCCTGGATGACTAGTCAATGAGACAAAAGTAACTATTTCAATAAGTCACCACTGCATATGTATGTACCACTATGTATGACTGATTTGATAATTTGATTACAAAGTATAATGACTAACCAGAACAAAACCCATGTGACCAATTATGACGACTGACACAAAACTAATTGAAAGTTTGACATGCCAAAGACAGTGTCTCATCTCATCCTAGAAAGAATCTTAAGTCTGGCCATCTTACTACATGAGGAATGTTATACGTATGTATAAATATATGCAACCCTATTTATTAGTACGAAAGAGGCTGATTGAGATGAGACGACAAAAACTACCTGAACCATTCCCAACATTGTTGGACTATTACTCATTAAAGATGTGGATTACTAATTTTCCCAGAAACGAGATCTTTTGCGTATTTGTGTTTGACCGTGAGTTCACATCCTACAACTTACATCCTACCTGAGCTACCAGAAAGCTCCTCCACGGTCTGGATAAATTATTCTATTTACTAAGAATAATAAATGTTCCTCTTACCTTTGCAATTGATACCTCCAGATTGCTCGATTTCTTCGGAAGGAGTGAAATACTCAAAATATTCAACTTGTCATAAGAAGCACACAAAAAGTATCCTTCTCTCTTTCAAGCACTCTAACAAAATGTTATTCGGAGCGAGCTGGTTGGAAATTCCAATTGATTGCGATGTAGACTGAATAATAAAGAGACTCTTCTTGCCCTGAATATAGGATTATTAGGACAGTCAATGATTTTCCACGTGTCTCCAAACTCTATATATGCACGATAAACTATCAACTAAAGTTTGCTTTGAATTGTACGTTGTCGTGAGACTCTTGGCTCTATTTTTTCGTAACACCTTCACAATTTCAGAAGCCACTTGGCGATAATGTATCTAGATCAAAGATGATGTTCTACGTCTTCCAATTGTTAAGTTGAACTGGAAGAAGAGAAATGTGAAACAATTTCTGTAGCAGAAGTGCGACGGCGATGATGTCAGATTGAGCGTTGGAAGTTGACTGAGAGCGAGAAGTGAGAGAGGGATCGAGCTAACACTGAATCTGCCCCACTCACATTTGGAATATGCTTTGTAAATACCACGTAAACACTCTTGTGCTTCTAATACGTGTAACTAACTTCATTTCATTACATGTTATTTGTGTATATAGAGCTCCATACACGATACACGAATATTACAGATATATTTACCATGCAGACTTACTGCTAAATATGAATGAAGTATTACTTATGATTTTTTGCATATTTTTAAATTGCGTATTTCTGAAAATGAAGAGTGGCCGTGGGTGGTAGGAAGAGAGACGCAATGGAACAGGAAACAATGAGATTGGGAGCTTTAGTTTTTGCAAAAGTATGAATGATTCATGGAGTGGAACTATGTCTATCTGTATAATTATGTATATAGCATCATAATTATTAATAAAAGCTCTTCTTCGTTCCTGCTAAAAGACGCTGTTAGTCGAGCTGTAGAAAATAATAGAATGAAAATCGTCCATATTATTTATAATGCACTCGCCAATAGCAAAGTAAATAAATCTCACGCATATGCATACTTATTAGTCGACTTGTAATACATTCTTGGCTAATATAAACTTGACTGCTACATGGATTTGCAGTGGTGTCGAAACAGCAGCAGATGAACCAAATTAGTCGTAAAAACTGTTCATATTCCCGGTCTAATGCTGGCTGGAAGGTGATAAGCAAAGCTAGTAGTATAGTTTGTGGGTGGAATAGCATGCTCGTGCATTATCAGTCAAAATTGCGTATTAGCTCTCCGACTTATTAATCTCATGTCAACAAAGTGTTTAAAAAATTGAGCAAGTGTATACACATAATATTCTCATAATATTTTCGGGTGTATGAGATGCCATGAAGATGTGGATGCAATATGCAAATTACCATATTTATAGTCTTATCTGTTGTTTAAGTGTGTGGAAGATTATTGTTGAATCACTGCCAATATAAAAATGTAGACGGATTAAAATAATCTTATTTACACGGAACAGACTCAACTAAATAATAAACTAATTCAAAGCTTTACACAGGTAATTATGTATTCCTACACTTTCAACTGTTGAGTAACGCTGCCCGATTTATGCTTTCGCTCAATAACATTGCAGAGATGTGGAACTGGTCCTGTCTCAACCATGTTATTGAGCACCAAAAGTGAAACTATAAATATGGCTTAAGCGACGAAGATAACGATAAACCACGCGTAACTCGTTTTGCAAACCTTATTATTATGGGACGTATTGTAAGTATTATTGAACTGTTTATTGTGTAAAGCAAAAAATTGAAATGAATGAGATCATTTACAGTTTACGTAATTACGAGATTGCTCTTATCCAACACATGACATCTGTACACACCATTATCTACACCGATATCGCATGTAGACCTGCCTGATGTCACATCGCGTTATCAAGCAATGACGAGGCATCGATAAAGCGTCAAGTTCTGGGGATTCATCCGGAAGCTATGATAAACCGAGGTTGCAAATATGTATGTATTACTATTACGTCGGAATTAGATATGGTTTCATGTGCACTCGATTAATTTCCATACCGCTACAAGCCAAAAGTGCCCGTGGTATTATCAACAACGTCAGAATAAGATAAAACTTGTTCCCTATTCTTACGTAGAAATGTGGTATTGGTTATTGAAATTTTAACCAACACCACATTTTCTTGCGAGTTATTATTAGGCGGGCAAGAATTGAGTTTTCCCCCTGATTGAGTGATTGAGTTTTTAATATTGTGTCGACTATTCAATTAAATTTAACCAACGAGTTACAGAAATGAGTTCAACGAGTCTTCTTATTTTAACGCCGATCCGTCAATGAGGATTTCCAACAATGCATTGTTCAGAGAAAATAAACAAACAATGTTTCAGTACTAAATGTGTGTCCAATAGGATGAATCATCTCAGAAATGGATGGTCATTCACATTTGGTGCTACGTAGTCAGTCCCTCGCCTCGTATGCATATTTATGGAATATGGAAGCAAATCTCCGGCGAGGAATCTGAATAGTTTACTTCATTAGGTTTTATGGATTTGGCCCCAACGCGTTGTTGCAATCCTGAAGCAGGAAGAACAGAGAATCAATAGAAGAATGTCCACCAGGGAAGTCGAAGAGCAACACAAGTTCAAATATATGTATGCACATTCGTTACGTGCATTAAGTCTCAGAGTGCGTTTTCCTTCAAACAAATGTAGCCTTGCTGGCAGTGTGTACTTAAATAAATAGGAGTGAATATTTACTTAAGGACAATGTATTCATAAAGGAAGCATTATGTGAGTGATGTCTGCTCATTGAATAGAAAGCATACAACAGCAGCTCGAAAGCCTGGTTGTTGGGTGTTTGATGCTGCTTTCCCCTCCGGTCTGATCTGATGACTAGTTTATGACTCATCAGCAACGCACTGAAAAAGCATGTTGGTTATTTAATTCATGGAACCCGACAACTGTCCGTTAACTTTTGTTTAGGGTGGCTCTATTATTGTACACACCCGTCAATCTCACTCTAATTTTACGACATGGGTTTCATTTGCCCATAAAGTAAATGCGCTAGATCCCAATCACTTTACCAAATTTGGACATAAATTACACTATTTTCAAGAATTAAATAAGAGTGTTTTATTAAAATAACAGTATTAATTCAGAGCCTGTTACGTAATTAGCACGAAAACTGCAAGTGATGCAGAGGTATATAGAAAGTTTATCAGGCCGATTTACTAAATATTTTTTAATTCCATTTTTTGTTTGATAACTTGGCTTCACGTCATGCATATCTACGTGCCAAAAAGAGCAGTAAATGTTAGACGTAAATATCATCCGTCCGTAATCATAAAACACTCGCCCTTATTTGTAATATATAAGAGCAGTCAATTTACATAACTTTAGCCTGGCCCAGTTAAATGTCAGGTTTGCTCTAATGAAATTTTTGTGAAGAAAAGCCCACGAAATTGGACCATCACAAAAGTATTCAAGGTATGGGCTATCGATTCCAATTATTTGGACAGTCCATATAATAATCCGTGTATACATACGTATGTGGGCAAAATATATAATGGCGAGTTCACATTATTCCACATGGAAGGAATTCCTTGGTTCATTCATCCATTCTTTGTGAACGGAAATGGCAGAACGCAAGACTTGACGAGCAGTGAGTATCGATCCATCGTGTTCCGGTATGCCAATTCTGATATCGCGAATAAATGGCATTCCAAGCGAGAAAACGCTTTGTTCTCTCTCTACTTAGTTTCTGGATTTAGTTCAAGTTCTTTTTCCTGTCCTCCTTTTCCTCTCCTGTCCCAACCGTATTCCAGCCAATAGCTTACGGATAAGCCACGCAATATTATCCACATGCACTATGTCAATATGTGCCATTCTTTTCTTGGGGTGTCTGGTTTTTTGCAATTTTCTTCACTTGCTTGTCACGAATGACCTTGACTTTCCATCAAAGTACAGACGTCCTCTGATTATCTCTCCTGTCCGCCACGGAGGAGTATTTAAGGCGAAAGGACGGAAATTTAATTATTCCATCAGCACAATCTCATTTCCTTCTCCATCCAAATTCCAATAAGTGAGGTTGCCCACTAATTGGCATCTCAGACAGAAGAGTCAAGTACATCGCATTTTTTTATCCTGACTCGACCACCACTACGCCTGTACTACTGTCCATGCACTCTCGAATGAATGAATGAGTAAAGATGTCTGTCATACCATATTCAGTCGTGTAAAGTATGCTCACACATTCTGACTGTGACCAACGGTATGTATGACCAGCAGTAATTTATCATCAATGACCATCTCCAAATTCCATCGTATCATACGTATCTCATCCAACCCTCTTCTTATCAAGTGTGTGCGTGATTCATTCAATTATTACAAAATGCTTGGACAAATATTTCCTCCTCTGGTTTCAGTCGTTTATCTATCTTGCTCCATTTTACTAGAGGAAGTGAGTCCAGCCCATCAGGAAAGGAAATGAACACATCTAAATATTTTACCACATCTTGAACAACCAAATTATCGTATTTGGTTCATTTGCATCCCATCAGTTTAAAGTGCTTAGATTGAACTTCAAACTATAGATTTAGGAGAATACTACATAACAGCAGCATGACGAAAAGCGGAATACTTTATGGCAAAAAGTCAGTCAATCGTCAATGAGAAATATTATTAAGAGACCCTTTGCCCCGTCTTAAATTACAATATCAGTGTTTCCATTCATGCTCATGTTTCAGTAAGTGTGGAGTAAAACAAGAGGGACCTTTATGATTTCACACATCCGTTGGAACTCTTGAGCTCTTTTTCTGGAGATAAGCTCTTCTTCTGTGTGTCCAACCAAGGGCAAAGTAGTCCAAATAAACCAGCACTATAGAAGGAATACGTACTAAAACTGAATGAATTGAATTTCTTGTCCAGAGCTCATTTTATGGCAAATGGCAAACAAGAGACCAATTTCAGAACGGAAATGGCAAAAGGCTCATCTTCGTTCACGAATCCTGGATGGAGACGAGACCCACCAACGGACAGACCCTTTTTCTTCCTTCCTTCCTTGTTGACACAAAGTCATTCATTTTACACAGGACAGGAGGTTGTTTGGCTGGGGTCACTTTTGGGTCACCCATTCATTTGCTGCCGATTCTTAATTTAGTGAATGGCTAAGCCTTGAAGCGGTGAATTAAGCAATAACATTGGTACCAAGAAGTATATACTCAATAACCTAAACGACTAGGTATAATTGCCGAGAAAAGGAAAGGAAGTCCACCCGCTCCGCCCACTCGCCTCAAGTGGTCAAAACTTTGGAAGTAAGACGAACGACGTGTGTTCAACTTTTTTGACTTTTGAGATAAGTAATGGTTCCGCTGCTGGTGAGAGCTTTTAGTTTTTGCTCACCCATCCAGCAAGAATGACGGATGACCAGACAAGGAAAGAATGGACAGAAAGAGTCGAATTTCTCAATAACATTTGTACGCTGAAAGAAATGTACATACATAACTCGTATAAAAATCTGGGCAGTTATCTCACCCTTGTTAGAACACTAAGGATAAGGATTATGTCCATAATAAAGCAATAAGATAACCAACCTCATGGCGAGAAAAGAAAAAAAACGTTAACTAAATATCCGCTTTCTAATCGTACAATTAGCTAAACTGCTTACTGAATGGATTTCCGACCCATTCTTCCGGTTGACCATAAAATATCTTGTGCAATCCAGTATGCACGCGTAAAGAAGGAAACTGACTCCAATAGTCAGTCAGAAATTTCCAGACAGGTTTTCCTGGCCAATCAAACAATCTTTTATCAATATGCGGAATTGGAGCCTCGTGATTTTGTGAAGGGTTATTTACCGCAAAGGTACGACGCGAGTAAATAGTCATGTAGACGTGGTCCTACTTATTTAATATGAGGAAATGGTCGGTAATGGAAGCTGCATTTACTCCGATCCATCCACGAACCAATGATTCATTCATTCATTCGTAACTCAACTTTGAAACTTATCCACTCGCCCGTGAGCATAGGATGATTGTAGGAAGGAAAGGGACAGCTGTTGTGAATTTATGACCCTTCTGTTAACTAAATGCCCCTTCATTCATCCAGCTATTCATAGGAATGAGTTGGATGACGTGTCACCACAAAGGGCTGCTCGGGTTTCGCTAACCAATGTGTTGTGTTAGTCACCATTTTCTGTCAAGGGTTCACCCCTTATTACGAAACACAACACATTTACTCTGCCCGCTGCTTGTTACACACATCCCTTGGTTTAAGTTGGCTAGCTTCGAAGGCCCATATCTACATACAAGTGATCACTCAGCCATGGCACGGACCACGACCACGTGCAAAATCTACATCCAGAATCAGCATCCCCCACAAATGATATATTTCCCATATTTACCAATGAGTCACTGGCCAGGAGGACCGAAACGAGTCCCCGTTTTGAAAAGTCTAACCAAACGCAACACTTTTATTTGTACGAATTTTCAATCTCTCATCCCATAAACAGACCGTCGTTCCGGACGTGTGCCGCCCGTCTCTCTTGTTCATCAGGCTTTTTCCCATTGTTACAATACTCCATCCACTTCCGAGCGAATCTCTAAACATCACTGCGAGAAAAGTGAACAAAACTGTGGATTAGTCATCATCAGCGGCAACATCGATGCCTATATGTGAAAGTGTACAAAATATTGTGGCTCGTAAAGGGCTATTGTTGTCAGCTTGGTGGTACTACATACTGATCCCACGTTCCCATCATGTAATAATGTATGTACATATGCAGGCTGATTGCAGTATTGACAATTTTGTGTCATTTAGATGACGTTCTCCAATCCTGAGAGAACACTCATTAAAAGATTTCTAAACCTCGGTCAGCGTTTGAAGTCGTCAGGGAGCATGGATAATTTGGGGTGAAAACGGGAGGGACTTTAATACAAATGCACACAATGGACTGGATGCGATGACTAAGACTTTTTAGACCGTGCATATTAGCATTCGTCATAATAATAAAAGCCGGATTGAAAGTTATGTTGTTTGAATCTCAGTTTTGCTCTGCTGGAGCTTGTGGAAGCCGACCCGGTTCGATAATGAAATTTTAACGGACATCATCAGAATAGAAGAGCAGGGTGAGCCAGCAGCCGAGTGAGTGCTGCTGCCGAGGGTGAAGGGTTGATCAATTTTATTTAGGAAAGGGATATCCCGGCCAAATGTTACCCGTTCTCATGATGTTTGTGACTGATACGTGTTACTTATTATGACGACGACGATGCGATGATTATTATCGCTTGTGGACTCTTAACTTAATAACTAGGCTCCACACTCAGGGACCATAACCTTTTCCTTCCTTTTTCAATTTGAGTCGTCCGCGGATCTGCATCCTGAATTTTTTGGTCCATGTAAATAAAAATGTGTTTTCTTTCACCCATCAACTGTTACGAGCCGTCAAAAAAGTGCCCTGTGTGCTGTACGTATACATAGCTCATCATACTCGTCATGTTTCCTTTCCTTTCTGCCGTATCCCAAAATCAGTTCATCGTCCGTTATGCTTATCTTATCAGAGGAAAAGGAAGAGGTGAGAAAATTAGTGAGTTTTTAAGGGTGCTCCGTATTCAAGTCATGTACATAACTTTCACTTGAGAGGAAGTGTCAGGTGAGTGTTTGAGTAGGTGGTGGGACTCAACTACCGGGAACCGGACATGGGGAACATCCCGCCCTCCTCTCTCATATCCATTCTGATGTAATTACAATGAGAGAATATTTTTAGAACGAGACTTGCCTAATAGACCCTTAACTTAACCGACAATCAAACAATCAAGTCAACTTGCTGCTCTAGAAATTAGTGGCACTTTGCACGGATTAGTTTCAGACTCGCTGCTTAGTTTCTCAACAGATTGGTGGTGCGGAGCTATTTTTACGGTAGATACGAATCAACGTAGTCGTAGTAAGGGTACAGCAATGAGATTATGGGGACCCTCAAGGCGCTAAGGATGTACAAAAAAGTGATCCGGTCCTTCATTCATCCATCCATCCGAGTGGCAGTCCTTACTTAAACGGGAAGGAAATCACATTATTTACTGGCAACACTTAGCGCATAGTAAACAGGGGTAGTAAAAGTGAACCATTCATGGAAAAGGGACGACGGGCGAGCAAACTTATTTTTGGAGAGGATAGGCAGTGTCGGTTTCCGTTCAGAATATTGCTGGCTTATTTCTATATCTGGCAGATTGTGCTGTTTCCCAGCATGTTCCTCTAAATCCTCCAAATAAGCCAGGGTTAATTGTGTTTGTCCACCAATAACAAAGCAAATATTATGCCACAGTCGATTCTGAATCTGGAAAAGAAGAAGAGCATTGAACAAGCAACGTCGATGAGCAACCAATTCCGGCTCAAGTTCTCTTAGGGCTCACTAAATAAATATGCGATGGCTTCATGCATACCTGTTTCTTATACCTTCCTCCTCCTCCTCCTCTTCTCGCCTACTTACGTACATAAAATCTTGATCCCTCTTTACTTTATCATCGCATCCTCATCAGTGAGACCGAGATTACGAGTACGAGTTAGTTTACACGTGTGTTGCTCAAGTACGTACTATCTGTCCAACTTCATTCATTTCATTCTGGGCATTCTCCTTGCAATGTTGTAGAAAAAAAACTATATACGCAACAGAGCAGAAACTCTTGATGTCAAGGACAAGGACGACCACACATTACACAAGGTGTGGTGTGATGTATGAATGTGTAATATTTTTAGTGATGTGTGCTCCGTTTCACACTTGTCGTGAGTATAAGAAGTCATCCAAAAGATGCGCCATTAACCTTCTGTGCTGGACAATAAGGTAATTGAGTTCTGAGCATTTGCAAAGTTGAGGTAGTACTCGGGCAAGAAGGGTCGCAGTAATAACTGGCTACTTGGCTGAGGATGAGTCATTTTTGATACATATGTCTTAAATTTTCAGAAAGCCACATCTGACCCCTTTCCCTGAAGGTGCAAAACTTATTATTTGGCTAAAAAGTACGTGCATTTAAGTTTAAGATAAATATTTCATACAATTTATATACGAACGGGTCTTCTACGTATGTATATGTACAACGCAGATTGTGCATACATCTTTAGCATTATTTACCTTTAAACAGAAGAGGCTTAATTCTTCAGGGCACTTCAGAAAATTGAACAGCAGGCAAAAATTCTTGGAAATTTATCCCTTTTGTTTAGACACATTAAGTAAACTTGTACATACGTCAGTGAACTTCATGTGATGGGCGCATGGTGCTCATCAAATAACTGCCTCCGGGAAGATTACGCCACGTTTCGTGTGGTTTCACCCGTTACAGCAGCAAAAGGTTGCAATCATCATCGTCATGTGTTGTTGGTTGGTGTTGCTGATCAAGTTCATATACCCATCATACGATAAAGGATCCAACCAAAGTGTACCCAAATGCCGAGATCACCAATTATGATGACACATGGGAATCCCCTACCTTGGATTTACATTCATTATACACATGTATTCACACATCATATTTGAAGCATACTTATTCCCACCGAAAACCTTACATGTGAATCAATACGAACGTTGTATAATTATTATAAATGTTCTTATTTATTTCATTCAATTGCGAAACATGGAACATCAATATTTTAAATTTTTTTGAAAGAATGGAAAACGAATCTCCTCAACACAGAAAACGCATGAGCTGGCATGATTTCCAATCAAATGTCTGGAAAGGCACTGGCCACATATCGATTTCCTAGTCTGTTCATGTAATGAGTTTGAATATTCACATTTTTTCCATTAAGTTTCACTGGACAACGAGCTCCGGGACGGGCATAGAAGCAAACGGTGTACAAAGCAATCTCAAACTCTGGACTTGTTCCAACAAACATGGAACTAATTGGTTTCTCTCTGTTGTTCCAGTCAAATTTGTGCTTCAGAATCTTTCCTTTCTGAAAAGTAACAAACAAAAACGTCAACCTTTAAATTTCATGAAAGAGAAAACAAAATAACATTCTCAAGTCAGTTCATGGAAATCGCATGCACAATTTGCAATGCCATTATTGTCTGAAAGGGGAAAAAGATATAGGACTCTTGATTCCATCCCACGCAGAATATTATTATAAAGCTTCTACGTATGCATATATACGTACTCTTGCATCCTACATGGTGATCATGCAGGGCACAAAGTTAAACGCGTGGGTGGCAAGGAAGAAAATCGTGGAATAAAATTTGTAAATTCTTGATCCATGCAATTGAGCATCACTCAAAATTGTTACTGTTAGTACCACGGCTAATAGTCGGTCCAAGAGCAAAAGTTTCCAGCTTAAAGAAACTTTTTGAAACGAATAACCATTTCGTAACACGAGTAATAGGATCAATCGTAAAAATTTCAATCACATTCTTTGAACTCATACAATCACATGAAAGTTGAGAGCGAATGTGCACTCGTAGAAGTTTATGGAGCTTAGATCAATAGGCGATTATTCGCATTGTCCTTTCCTTCTCCCACTGATTACATTTTAATGCAAGACGAGAGGAGACGGGAGGAGACGGAGGAGGGAGAGAATTTGACCACTTGATAGAATGGGAATAAGCCCCTTGAATGCATCCAATGTATCCCTTTGCGTAGGTGGGAATTTGTTTTCTTTACTTGTCAACTTAAAACCTTTGGTCGCGTCCACGCCACCACATTTACGCAACCCACCGAACCGCTTCAATCATCCCAGCAACAAAATAGGTGAAGCGAAGTGAAATAAGTAAACATCATCTCTTCTGTTGAAACGAGAATGTCCTCAACCAATACAATACGTTTGTGAGGAAAGGCTTTTGGACTTTTTGGGTTTATATATTTCCTTTTCTCCCTTATTGACCTCAGCGGTGGGTGGTTATACACTACGAACTAAACCATTATTCGAATTCATTTCGCTAAACTTACAGCGCCTAAATTCACCACGGTTCCAATCCGACCCCGATAGTTGAGTTTGCTGTTAACTTCCTCCTTACTGAAAAATACCCAGTTATGAAATCCTGACACCTGACCGTTCTTAACTTCGCCGAGGAAAACATGTTCAAATCCGGATGAGCCCAACGTCCTGTTCTCACGAGAATAGAGACCAAACCAAATTTGTTGGACAGCATCTCGGACAGCAGCGTTGTTCTGTCCGCCACCGGATCGTCTGCCAGAGACGATAAGACGTTTATCGAGCAGGAACTTTTCTGCCTTCTTCATCGCTGGCGTTGTCATAATGGCATCAAGAAACTCAGTCTCTTCTCGAACCTCGTCATTGGTCACAACTTCAGGCTGTCCGGTGAGGAAGACGTAATTGTTGTGGAGGGGAAGGAGCTTGGAGATTGTGGGTTTTTGGTACGCCTCCGTACGGACGGTCAGCAATCTGGGGATGAGATATGGAATAAAAGTGGTTTATTTAGAGATAAGTAAGTTTTACTATGGATAAGTTTTGTGGGGCATGATTGTTTCGGACTTGCTTTCTCTTCCGAGTTGAGCGAGCAGAGTCAGCAGCAATCAACAACATTACGTACATTTAATCAATAATATAAGAAGGAGGACGAGTTCTGAGTGAAAAATGAGATCATGCTTTCCTGCACGTCCACGCGGTCTCTCTTTCCCTTCAGCACAACCTCCGCAAAATCGTGCATCATTGAGCACAATCAAGAATTCGCTCAAAAAAGTACGTCCATATTTATTTATGTTTGCCAACAAATCAATCCTTCCCCACAATTACATCCCACCCACAATCCGTATCATCCACTTCATCTAATTTACTTTAGTAGACAAACTGTATCACTATGTATAGTCGAAAATTCGAACTTGATTATATACGGCTGGATCAAAAACTATATTAGGAAATTCTCTATAATGCTCGCTGCTATAATCCCAATAGGAATTATGAAAAGAGCTCTGATTGGCAGGGATAGCCGCTTTGACAGCCAAAGTTAACGAATATCTGAATCATTTTCCAATGAAAAACATCCGGTCGTTTCTACTGACGGCTGTGATGATTGACACCTTTATACGTATGACAACAAATTGGTTGGCTATAGATATGCATTGTTATACAAACTTACGGCTCTGGAGCAGCATCTTTGGTACAAGAGAAGCAGGTTGATCCCTGTGTGTTGAGGGAGACGAGGGACCCACAGTTATTCACATCGTTGGACAGGATGTCCTCTGAGAAAGTCGCTAACTCAACGTCTGTCACCGTCGCTGTGAGAGATTAATACAACAAAACCATTATACGCACCATTAGATTCCATTACGAATCACATCAAAAAGTCATTGTAAAGGTTGACATGTAGAAATTGAGACATTTCTTCCAAATTTTCCCAATTCAATGGGAAAGCCAGCGAGGCAAATGCATGTGTAGGATGTTGTGTATGATAAGTATTATACGTGTTTACGTGAGCAATACGTGTCTGCCTGACTACCTGCAATATTCCGGAAATATGGCGAGATGAGGAAAGGATGTAAATAATCAATGCAAATAAACCCAGATTTACATTTACAAAAGGAGATTTATGAGTCAGCATGAAAAAACGTCAACTTTGACTGGCCGTATATGTGGATCAACAAAAGTTTTTTCCAGCCAGGAATTGGTACACTAAATCCGCTTCATTCTTATTCCATTCCAAAGATTTCTTATAGCTGCAACCTACGCCTGATTGATTCCCAAACCTACGCACATATGTACATAATATCTCCCAAAAGACTTTCATTGCATATTCCCAAAATAACTCCTTCCAGACGACGAGATATGAGGCATCTTCGGGCGTAATGGTTCTGAAACGTATTTTTAAAGCTCATCTATGTATGCAGCCATTTTTTATCTAAAAAAGAAAGCAAGTTATATAAAGTTCATATTCAGCTACTGACATTTGCAATCAGCGGACTTTGTTTGGCCTACATCAGACAAGCTTGATGAGTGGTATCTTCATAGTCTCTGTTTACTTATCTGTATTTTTTGTTTAAAAACCCTCAAGCAAACATCACAGTTATAAAAATCTGCTGAAACAGCAAGACTGAGACTAAATTAAATTAATGATGCTTCGGTCTCAATTAGTTATTTAGTAAAAGACTGCTGAAGGAAGGCCCACGCGCCACAAGGCAGGCATTCATGGGACAGTCAGCAGCTCTTCAGAGACCTTATTAGTGCAGTTGCTCTGGTCGTATTTGAAGATAAGACACCTGAACACACTCGCTCCCATTTTCACGGAATGGGTGAAACCTTACGCCAACGAAAAGCAGATGAAAAGGTTGTGTAGGCAGAAAATCAATTTCTCGGCCCACACGTTCCGAGCTGCATCTGCACTTAAAAAGTTTATCAGACTTATGACTTATGTTAAGCTCTTCGTTAAGCTTGGCTTTCACAGACTTGCGACAGAGAAAACCTCGATGAAATGTAAAAGTGTAGATCCTTTAAACTTGGTGGACAATAATAAAGTGGTTAACGAAGTTGCAGTGCGAACTAACTACGCTGAGGTTGAGATGTGTAGGTGCGAAGAGGAAAGTTTTAGTAGAATTTTTATTAGGTGCTAAATATATCGTAAGTATTTACCCATTCTTGCACAATGGTCTTTGACATCGTCACAGCAGTCGTCATACTTGTCACATTTTGAGTTACACTGACAAGGAAGGTCATCGTCATAAGATAAATTACAACGTCCACGGCAAGTCAAGCAAGTTCCGGAATAGTCAGAGCAGCAGTCATTGTACTCCTGACATTTTTGGTTGCATTGGCACGGAAGTTCTGGATTGTGTCCAGTTGTGTCACATCGGTCAGCACAGGAAGTGTACGTTGTGAAGTCAACTTTGGGAATTAATTTTTAACAAATTCACTGTATGTAGGACATGCTATGCACATGGATAAATAATTAATTATTACAGTTCATATACAGAAGCACAGTGAGAATAAGCTTAGTCGTCGTCAACTTAATCGAAAGGTACATACACACAGTTGGGGGATATTTATGTAGGTAGTCGTCGTATCACTTGCAATGGTGCTGATGTAGTCGGTTTCATAATAATTGTTCTAGTCAACCTTTCCTGCGGCGATGTGAAATGAGTGCATACAAACACACACCGAGTTCGAAAATTGGATAAAGTTGACAATCCGTAAACGTCCGTTACATAAACACCACGGGGCAACTTTATAAAGCAACTATTTGCGTAGCTTAATTTCAACTTCATCATAATCGTCCTTGGTGGGTTTTGCCTTTGTCATCAAAAGCACATCAATATGCCAAAATCTTGTCTCTCCCGTCCTCATTTCCTTTTAGCTCTCAAAGTGGAAACCTTTCAAGAAATGTGTGATGATGATTAATGCATGTGGGCCCCGAATATCTTATCTGCATATAAGATATTCGGGGATGGATACATGTGGGATGGATTTGAGAGGAAGACCAGGACGTGGCCCACGTCTGAGCAGTCAACCGAGGTTGCGGAAACATGACATTGCATCATTATGAAAGTGACAGGTGTCCATCCAACGATTAAATTATTACCAAGAAAGTTGGTTTGCACACACATTTGTTGTACTGGATGGTACTACCTGTCTCTCTGCCTCGTGTCAAGAAGGAGAGCAAACATCTTACGCAAATCTATGTAGCACTGCGGCCATATAAATAATGCATACGTACGTATATTCAAGTGCCCATCTAAATACGCATGCGGAATTGACAGAAGGTGGTTGCAAAAAAGGGTTTCCAGATATTTCGAATAATTAATTCTTCCACTTGGGTAGACTTCGCCTTTCACTCTAACAGCCACCAACCACGCATCGTGTTTTATTCATATGCATGCGTCAAGTAATTAAATCTTGATTAGAATATTATGTTTTTAACGAGATATTCGGAGTGAGAGGCAGCAAGGGTTTTCATGTCTCTCTGTCATTCAGCAACGTATTCAGGAAAAATTGGTTCCCAACAAGAAAAATACCCCTTCTGTTGAACGCCCACGCGTCAATCCCAAGAACATTATTGTCTACTTTCTCTGCGCGATTGCAGCTACAAGTTAAACTACGGGATGAATTGGAATGACTGACTTTCTCCTCTCTTGTAAACATAGTTGTTTATCATCATAATAATGTGTTGCTGACTGACTTCCTTCCCACGTTCGGTTTCTAGCACGGGGACAAAAAGGGTTAACCAAATACGTCCCTAAACTTTGAAAACAAGCTGTCAAATTGTTAAAACTTTGTAATTCGGGGAGTCAAAATCAAGACAGGTTAAACTTTAGGGTAAACTATAGCAGTTATCAGTATAATGACAAAAGCATAAGTAATGCCAACCCACATGTGCATGAACCCAGTCAACTAAAAGCTTCAAAAAAGTTGATACTAGTACGATTTTACAGTGTAATTTCATTGTTGGTCGTCACATTATTATTTTCTAAGTAGATGGTAAACAATGCAGTTACTCTTATTTATTTTGGGGCCTTGTTACATTACGTGGTTATGGTTGAAGACCTGCAGGTCATTCCTACGATATTTCCTCACGCCTCCGTACTTTCTCCACTCAAGTATTTCTGAGATATTATGACAATGGAGAAACTCGAAACTGGGAACTCATCGGTTCTGCTGGAACCTTTTCTTATCAGGAAAGTTTCACTTATTGCTTATGTAGCCCCATTGGCTTCGTATCTGGCATTGTAAACCGAAACAAGACCATTTATTACTACTGCGTCGCATAGTCTGTCAGCAGCTCCATTTTCCCAGCCTCACTTTCCCCTCCATCGCATCGCCCACTCCTTTTCACCTCTCGTCCTCGTCTCTCTTCTTGTCTCTCTCGAAACTCGACGACTTTTTCACAAATCAATGCTCCACATTTTTTCCCGAGTGAGTAGCACCTGCCCATTATTACATTCCATAATCGCTCATCCATCTGAGGAAAATTCAGCGACAGCCTCTAGTGAGTCAATCATTGCTAAAATAAGTCTTCCATTTGTAACAAAATTAGGAGGATTAGGGTGTCGGTTTCCAGAAATTGAAATATATATAGAACAAATGCTGTTCATGAGCACGAATAAGCATTATTTTCACGTCATATTATGTTGCAAATGGTATGTACAGAACGGTAATAAATAATGACACTGTTCGCCCACTCTTTAATTTTATCGGCATACTAATCCTGGACAAGCGGTTTGAATTCAAGTACCACCCTCGTTCCTGAAAATGGGAATTGCGTCTAAATTGTCCCACTTTCTCGTCTGTACTTTGCTCTCTCTGATATAAATACCATTACGTGAACCCAGTCAGGAACGACACTGATGAGTTTCGAGTGAGTGGAGAGACTGGGAGAGAACGAGAGAGGAGAGATTACTTGCTTTCACTCGTTTTCCCTTCTTTCGCCTCTTTAACTGTGCAAACTTTCACTAATGATTGACTTCTGAGCACGTGGATTACGAAATCCTTTCACCTCTCTCAAAGGTGTAATGTAACAAATTGCTGACGATGTTGTAAAATGTGTCACTTGCATAGAAATTCAAGCTTCTCCATGTTCAACCCACACGCTTATAAGCACGTACCCATTTTATTTCCAACTAAATTCGGAAATTGCCAACTGGAGAGCAATTTCAACATGGGGCCACTCTGACACTCGGCATTATATAAATATAAAATAAAATACATATTAATGAAAACTTACCGGGAACTGCGCAAGTGGCGAATGGTATTGCTACCAGCAAAAAAACGGGCAACGCTATAAAACTGGTCATTGTAATCTCCAGCCAGTAGGCAGCTCAAATTCTTACAAATTCTAAATTCTTATCACGTTTTTTTTGTTCTCGAGGATTTAAGTATTTATATGTATATTAGTAATTAAAGTGAAATAAACTTGAAAGTTATCAATTTTTCACACTACTTTGTGAGCTAAACTTTAACACCAACTAATTTATGAATACAATAGCCACAGTGTATTCATATGTATGATGAATTGAAAAACTCATGAGATCAATCATGCGCAACCTGATAAGATTTCTTTTCAAATTATTTTATATAATAAATTAATCAGCGAATGACGAAGATTTTGACCTCCTTTAACAGATGACTGCTGTTCTGGTTTGGTTAGTTTACATCTTTACATAGTTTGACGTATATGCATACAGATGTTTGGATGTAGGGGAATTACATATGTATGTACATGCATGTTGGTAAAGATTGTTAGAGACAAGATAGAAACATGTATAGAGTATATGCCATCAAGAGGCCCATCTATTAATTCAACCCCTTGCGTACTCACTGTAGATATATTTATGCAAATAATTTATTTCTAGTTTTTAGCAATGACTAATCACTTACATCCTTAGACATGAAGGTCACTTAAATTTCGTGTTAAATAAAAATTAGCAATTAATTAATTCATACAACACAGGTGTTCTGCTACTACATACTTAAACTAAATAGACATTGACCAACTATACATGGCCTAACTATTTTTACTACCATTTACAAAAATCAGGAAATACGTTTTAAAAAAATTATTTATGCAATGTAAGATTAGTTACGTCCCTCATAATTTCGTCGTGGAGAAGGGGAATACGTTTAAAAATATCTGCATTGACATCATCTCTTATATCGTCATTAATTGAAGAAACGAGAACATTGAAGCCACTGTGAAGATCTTTGTTTTCGACAATTAGCTACATAGAATATTAAAATGCATGCACATTAGTTAAATATTTCGAAGGCATATATTAAACGCCACTGATTATTTATAAATTTGTTATACCTTGTTAACTAACTGTTCAGTCTTGGCTTGGAGCTCCCGATTTCTCAGTAGCTCTGCGTTGTTCTGAACTAAACGAAAATCTGCAGTTAGTATTGTCAAGAAATGTGTAACTGACCTTAATGCATGTAGGACCTAATTCAGCCTTGACTCGAATTATTTCTTGCTCCAACTCTTTAATTCGAGACTCGGATATAACTTGAGCTTTCTCCCTGAATTTCAAGTTCACGGCCATTACTTTCACCTGCTTTTCGGTTTGCTCAACGAGGGAAGAGTAGGCTAGTTTTGCTTTTTCGAGTTCATCAATTCGCCTGCATAATAGATAGTTTGCTATTAATTATTATTCAATTTCAATTCTGAGGTATTTCCTACGTACTTTTGAATATCTGTCATGTTATCCTTATGACGCTTAAGATAAGCCACGATTGACAATCTATATTGTTCGATTCCATTGTGTTGTCGAGCAAAATCTTCCACCTTTCGAATGGCCTCTGTTTTTTCGAGCTAAATATTTTAAAACCAACCTCGTAAAAGTAGAGTGACAGTATCCCATATTTGAGCCAAACCCTATGAAATTTTCGAAAATATTACCTCGACCGTTTTGAGCTGTTCCTTTAACCACACGGCTTCCTTCTTTGTAGCTTCAGCTTGTCTCTTCCAAGTCTCCACTTCGCATTTAATTGAATACGTTTTTGTATTGAGTTGCATATTGTTCTTTTCCAAGTCCGTTATGTAGTTTTTGGAATCTTGCTCCCGAGACGCTTTTTCTGATACGAGTTGCAGCTCCAATACTCGCTTTTCTTCATGTAATTTCACCACTGTTGACCGCATTACATTCAAGTTTCCCTAAAATAAAATATGCTGAAAATTATAAAAATCCTATGATAAAATATTAGGACGAATAAAAAATATCGAAACGTCAAATCAAATTCAGATGCTTGTTCTTACTCACCCTCAACATTGCAACTTCTTCCTTTTGAGAATAAAAATCTCGTTCGAACTGACCGAATTCTTCAGTAGACCCAAACTGACTCTTCAAAATTTGCAAAAAATTGGTCGAAGACTCCATTTTGTTGCAATTGTTAAAGAAATTCAAAATTTTTATTGCAATTACGTGCAATTTTTATGATAAAAACTTTAACCAAACGTAAATAAAATAATTTTTTAGAGGGGCTCTTGCCGACCCACGACCAGCTTGTAAAGTGTGCTTCTCTGTCCGAAGGAAAAAATAATTTGTGCAAGGTCAATGAACTCGGTATCTTTCTACGATCTAAAACACTTTATTATTTTAAAATACAAACCAATATGGACTTATTTAACTAATTAAAATGTATCCGATAAGTCAATGTCCTACATATGTCATCATGTGTAACGTCAAATGATAATTTTGAATATAATTCAGTTAAAGTTTGCAGAAAATTTAACGTCGTCTCCTGTTTTTTCTAACTCGAGCCTGATATTTAATGCTGGGCTCATACTATCTCAGAATTTGATTAGTTTCTAAACCTTCGTTGGCCAACTTATTAATGTTCTCCTTGTGATTTGACTCTGTCACGAAATGTCCCAACCTTTGAATGGAAGTTGAGGACATTCTTTTATCAGGAAGAAGATTCCATTTTTGCAATAATTTTTTGAGCTTGTCTTTCCGACTTTGTATTAAAATTTTGAGCACTTCCCTGTCATGATTGGTTAGGAGAGTAGACGTAGATCCCATTTTTGAGCCAAGGTCAAAACCAAACTCGTAGGCGTTGGTGACGGTTTGTGGACGGAATAGCTGATCATCTTTATATATTCGATTTGCCTCGTTCTGAAGGTCGATGGGATGTGGTCCGTAGGGTGTTTTTAGTATAATCGGTGGTGGTGGGGGTATGTATTCGGGGTGGAATTGGTGAGATGGTGGGGGCAAGGTAGCACCCTCGTATAATTTATTGGTGTCTGATGAGCTGTACTTGTGGTCATCATGATACGAACTGTGGTGCTTGTGGTGGGGTTTCAAATATTTGTAAACAGGATACGGTTTGGGGACTGGTATTGGTACCGGGACTCTGATGTATTTTGGCTTTTTCTTGACCCAGTAGATTTTCCAGAGCAGTGGAATCATCGCTAAAGCCAAGGGGACCAACTTTAGAGCAACCACCAACGCCACTGGCATGTATTTCAGGGCCAAGTAGTAGAGGAATTTCTTCTTCATAATGTCATAAAGATCCACATCAAATTTGACATCAAACCAATATTCCTTGGGGTGTTTGAATAACTGTGCGATTGGGGCTGCGATACTGGACATAACGTTGGCTATTTTCTTCTTCTTTTTTGCTTTGATCTTCTTCTTAATCCCTTTCTTAATTAGGCCTTTAACCAGGAGAGACTTGAGTTTTCTTTGAGGTTTCTTGGTATTTTTTTTGGTACTGACTTTGGGCGACTTTGTAGTATGAGCTTGAACTTGAAGGTTGTTAGTCCGATGGTTGGTCATTGTATTATTTATTTGTTGAGCAAGTAGTTGAATAAGTTGGGTTGTGTTTATGTTAATATCTGGAGATTGATTTGGGGATGAGTGAACAGTGTTTAGAAGTGACTGATGACCAGCGGCACCAGTTTTCTTCTTATTAAGGTATGAAATCAGGATAGCAGCTGAAGCCAAATCGGCCAAGAATTGCTGGTGTCCAACTTTTTCCGGTGAAAAGCTGTCTAATCAAAGGAAGCATTGATGAATTGATCCTTCCCACTGTACGGTGAATTGTGGTACGTACCTGTCCATGCAATTGGGGACGGGCGTGTTACCGGTGGGTCAGACTCGTGCTCAACGGGTGTAGGGAGCTGGATATCTTGGACTGACAGCAGCAGATTGTAAAGTTGTTGCCAAGATTGTTCATCAATAGACGTCTCTGCAAAGTTAAATTAATTTTTTGCAATAATGCAAAAGTAAGTAAAACTTTGCTAACACATTACCTTTAGTGTCAGAGTCAATAACTTGAGGTCTGTAACTGGATGACACCTGATGGTCAACTTTTAACATGTGGGAATTTGCAGGAAATGACTGGGCACCATCTGTAGTGATCCCAAACTCCAAAGTAGGCCGGTATGTCATGTCGTCTAATTCTGGCGTTGCTGGACTTTTTCTATCCATTATGACATAGTTCACATACTTTTTCTCCTGGTGTGGCAATGACGCTATTGGTTTTGCAATTTGCTCGGTTATTTCGTGACCATAGTTGATTTTTAGTGTTGGTTCACTGTTGTAATAGTTGGGTGTGTCAAATATGTTGAAATTATTCTTCTGATTTTCATTAAATTCTGAAATAGCGGAAGCGACAACATCCTGAACAGAAATCGGAATTTCGTCAAGATTCAAAATTGACCCATTCTCCAATTGGAAGCTGTCCAAAGCTGATCCGGCCGGGATCACATTTTCATTCACCAGCGTCAACTTCCCATTGTTATAGTTCCAAATTTTGAAGATCAACCCTCCGCCGTGAAAATCATTACTTGCAGTTGTCTCCGTGTTTTGATGATCGGCACCACTGCTGCTACTGCTCGTTGAAGATATGAAATGGTTTATTATAGGTTTGTACCAGATGTTTGTGAATGGTCGGGTCAATGACGACAAGGACGATGCGGAGGAGGATGGAAGTTGCCCTTGTAAACTCGCAATTTCACTGGGTTTGACTTGATGGTAGTTTTCAAAGTGGGGGCGGATATGAACATGTTGCGGGACTGTCGTCGGTGAAAATGGTTTAGGTTTGTAAGAACTAAACCCGAAAAAACTTTCATCATATGCGGACGATAAGTCTGGAGTTTTACTAAATGAGGATTCTGTCGGAGATGGTGAAGCTGGCGTGTCAAAGTCTAAATGTGCTATTGTGTAACTTGGAGGTGGCGTAGTTTTTACTCTCGTCTTAAATGGGAAATGGTTGTGAATATGCGATGTTGTTGGCCTCTGGGTGGACCCCAAACCCCAATGTGGTCTCTTCTTGACCTTTGTTCTCGTGGGTGGGAGTGGTGAGCTGGGGTACAACTGATCAACAGCTGGACGGATTGTCACCGTCAATGTTGGTACCTTTTTCCAGGGGTTGGACCTCTCTGAATCTTCAGAGGCAATACTTTCCCCTTCCTCATATCTTGTAGCAGGATCAATATAAGAAGGCGTAGTAGTTTTGGTGCGGGTGGTAGTCGTCATTGGTGTGGTTATGATTTCCGGTCTGGGTGTGCTTTTAAGATCTGGAGTTGAATGGTGCAAATTATGCGATTGATAGGGAGCTATTTCATATTGAAACCCAACACCGTAATTGTTTTGCTTAATTACTGGGCCAGCATCATCAGGATGACCTTTCCATGCCAAAATATCATCGCGTTCATCATCTTCGTCTTGTGAGAAGACTTTCCCCTGATTTTCTGTACCTTTATCCTTATATGTAGAATTGCTGTTTCTTTCCACAAATGGGACACTGGTCGTAACAGAAGCAGTGGGCACTACTTTCTTGTGTGTGATACTTGCGTCTCTCTTGCTTTGCGTGGTGTCACCGCTCTGATTTTTATGGTTCTGGTCTGCCTGATACGGCACCCTAATTTTCTTATTTGTATATCGTTTTCGAAAATTTGAGTTTAATTTGGGTACTGAGGACAACTTGGAAGAAGAATTAGTAGTTGGTTTTTCGTGTGCATAATGATTATGAGACCATGAATGCTGCGTGGCATTATTATCGCCATGTCTGGGTCGAACTGTGGCACGACTCTGCTTGATATTCAAAACCTTTTTGAAAAAATTTGCACTTGGCCACGGTCTAATCGTCGATGTCGATGCTATTCTGTCATTATGCTGAACATTGGGTTGATCTCTTAAGTCATCCGCAGTTAGATGCGTTACGCACAGAAAATTTGAAATTAATATGGCAGAGCAGATATGGCGAAGGTTTGTCTATTCAAAAAGTTAGAAACACCACATAATTATTCATAAACAAGTAATATTAGATGCTTAATTTTCTGAATTCCGTAAATGAAGTAATATGTTTTGTTAGTCTTACCTTGACACACTTGTTGTATTTCATCATATTTTTATTTTCATTGGTTTACTAAGCATTGATTAAAGTTTCGTTCATGACAAATTTGACAATAAATTATTGCAGACTTTAATAGTCTACTAAATCGGGCACTGGAAGCAACTCAGGACTCGACGACGCCGGAGTCAAGCCTCTCAGAACCACGGCTGGAAGAAGGAAAAGTCCGAAACCTGCCAATGGTAGCAATAGCGACGCAACTGCGGTTACAACTGGCCCCATCACAAAGGTCGCAACGCCAGCCACCAGAATCAGCACTGGAAGCACCCCAAATACCAACAAGAGCAAAACTCCGTTGGGAGATGAACTGTAATTATCTGTGACACCGATGGAGACCGTCGCCAAATTTTGCACAGCACTTTGAATGAGTTGTGAATATGCAGAGTTTCTAAGCGTCAATCTTTGTGGCCGGCGGCGGCGGCGAATGGGCCTTCTTCGTCGTCTTCTGACTCTATTCCTTCCTCGTCCACGTAACCTTCGCCGTATTCTCAAAATTTGAGCCACATTTCGACCTTTCCAAATTTCTTTGTGGGTAACATTTCCACTTTCACAACTTGAAATACGATACAACACACAAAACCATGAATTGGTTGTGGGAGCAATTTCATATTCAAAATTTGACCTCCCTGTACTCGTGTATGTTATTGTAAACAAATTGAATGAGATGATGCTTATCAGAAGTAAGTTCTTGATAAAATTCCACATTTCCTTAGTGGAAGCATGTTTGAGTCTGAATACTAACTGAATTATTCGTATAATGATTAAATATGACGTTCAAAAATTTGGTATCTGCACGTCAGAACGATCAAAGTAAAACTGAGCAAATTAGTGGCAGCAATATGCATACATATGAAAATTGTTTGTGACAATTAAAACGGTGAACAAATAAAAGTATTGTCGTTGTTTTATCTTTGTGTATTTTACATATGCAGAAAAACAGAACATGACGGCAACTTCAGTATGTATTACGTGCACACACGCAATTTTCATGGATGTGATCATAATTAAACTAAACGATATAAATTGGCAGAGTTCTTGTTAAGCTAAACGGAATGAGAATGAGAAAAGGAAGTCACGGCGGTCGGCGACGGTTCTTCTTCTTGTTAATTCTGGGAAATCCGTACAACAAGGTGAGAAATCAGATCAATTACGGATGATACATACATAACGGTCATCATTTTACAGTATAAACAAGCTAACCACCCTTTTATTGCAACAATACGATTATTATTGTATTAAAAAGAAACAAATAACAATTTATATACATCCATATCACAAAGCAATTTATTATGATTTACGATCATCTCGTATGTTTTTAGTGCTGCTGACTACGTAATAAATAGTATGTAATAAATTACTCGTTAATATAAATTACCCCACAATTTGTTTGTACACAGTGCGAACCCCTTTTTCTACGGTAGACTTGAGAAATTAGTACCCAATTAATTACACCTTTTTCTCATATTTAATCATAGCGTCTGCAATCATGTCTAAAGCCTGGAAAAAGTCATCAACCTTTAATTGATTGAGAATGTCGGTTTTAGCTTTCTTCTTCTTCCCAGCACTGTTTTGAACTAAGAACAACAATAAAATTGGAACCACAATGCCAAGCACCCCGACGGCCACAATTGGTGGTCCCAAGGAATACAATCCGACCGCAATGCTTGCAATGGAAATGGTGATTGAGAAAAATAGGATAAATCTGCCAGATTTACCAGATTTATTTGGCAGATTTGCAAAAACATTTATCACCTCGAACACCTTCTCCACTGTGCCGTTCATTACTGAAGTCGGGGTCAAGAGCAGATCGCCTCCGTCGTCGTCAAAGACATCTTCCAATGTGCTGTTGTCTTCCGTCCCATTCTCATTTTTTAACGATGTCAGAGCAGAATTACGTATCATGGAGACTTTGGTAAAGTTTTTGCCACTGCTGTCGTGCAAGTCATTGTAATTGGAAAAGTTTCCTAGGCCTAGCCCAGCAGCGATCTTTTCAAGGTAAGAAGGCAGGCTGTCAAACACTGGCTGATCTGAGAACGAGGCTTCTGAATTATTTTTATTTTTATTACTCGTAAAAGTTGGGAAAAGTGATGCGACCGGATTTTTTATCTCGTGCGAAGAGGCAGAAGAAAAGTAGTTTGGTTTTGGAATTGGAGACCGCAAAACTTCAATAATTGATTGGATAATGTCATCCATTGTACTAATTGAAGTTGGTGGCGAATTATTGCCATCGCCGGTCATCAAATTTTTGACGTGAGTTCTGGGTTTAGGGGTTGTTTTAACAATTTTGTACTTTTGCTTCAATTGGGGCACATTAAAGTGAAGGATGTCCTGGTATTTGGCATTTGTGTGAGGTTTGATATTTGAGGAAAACTGTGACTGAGAAGAAAACAATGGAGGTTTCATGGTGGAAGTGGGGATTGATATGATTGTGCCATTCTTCTTGTCTGGCTGAAATATGGTGACATGAACAAAATCGCCCCTCTTCACGTCCTCATCTAACAAAGTATTGGAATTCTCCATCACTTTCTCCCTCAGAGTTTCCCTAGATCCGTGGTGAGAGTCAAGGATTGAAGGAATTTTGGGAACTGTTACCTCCTTGACATGAGAGTAGAAAAGTTTCTTATTGTTGTCACTGCTGAGGGGCGGAAACAAAGAATTTTCATTGTCATCTGGGTCGACATTATTGGCAAAAATTTGTATTTTGTCCTTTTGTTGAACGAGGCTCCGTTTGTCTCTCGTTTGGACAGTTTGGTTGCTGTTGTCAGCAGAACTTTTGAGAGGGTGATGAGCGTTTATGGTGATAGTGTCACTGTTTTCATTAGGAATATCATTGACCTCACCATATGGCGTCACAATTGTGGTTGGAGGATTGTCAGCGATTGTGTCCGCATCAATCTGCGTTGGCTGCCCTAATAACTTTGCCCTCAGTCGTCTCAAGAGGAATTTGAGACGAACCAAGGTTTCGTCTGACTGGTCATAAACCCTGGCGTAGGTCATGTGAATGAGCGAGGATAACGAGGACTTGAGGGAATTCTGGTCATCACCCAATTCTTCAGTGTAGTACCAAATGTTTTGAAGCTCGTTGAGAATCTCCTTTTTGACTTCAGGCTCGTCTTGGGTTATCTCATCGCCAGTTGTGGGTGGCGTCGTGAAAGAGGTGGTTTGATCTAATTCTTCAGCAGCAGTATTTGTGTCGATTACCTCCATTGGTACAATTGGTTCTTCTGACAAGAGAGGTGGTGGCGGTGGTGTTGGCGGAGATAAAGTTGTTGTGCCTTCGTCATCATTGTCAGAAAAATACGATAATGTAGTATTATTTAAGGATTCTGTGTCAAACTTGATTGTTAACTCTGTGGCTGCATTTTCTGCCTCATTTTCAACATCTGTAGAATCCACAATAAATGACGAGGGGGTTTCGGCGACTTCAATTTCAATAGCAACCTTCCCATCATCATCGTTTTGCGAAGGAATGCCTATTTATACCAATAATTTGAATATAATTTATAGATTTTGAAACTTATATAATTTTAGTTTGTGTTTGTACATCTGTATTACAGAAGGCAAATGTTATGGTATGAACGTACATATTTGCATGCATAAATTCACCTTGAACTTGTAATTGGATTTTAAAAATTTCCGATGCAATTTAAGCAAATCTCAAAGATACATCGAATTTGTGTGCTTGCTTAAATTTTAAAATTAATTCCAATGAATTACCTGCTGGTGGTGTGGTGGGATAGCCCTCGCAGACGTAAGGAATGCAAAGAATGTACACTATTATTAGCAAGCTCAGCCTCCCGGCAGTGCAATGCTTTGTCTTTGTCATCATGTTCGCATTCCAATTTATCATGTCCTTATTATTTTATGAACGAGTAAAGTGAGGGCACTGGCATTAACTCTGATTGATTATATTGATTGGCATCTACTGTGCTTAATAACGTTCAGATTACGATGCGAAATGATTGATCACAAATGAACACATCTCTTGACATGCAAAGTGGAATTCAGTCAGACGGAATAATTAATTGACGTGCGGTTATGTTGTTAATTTGTAGGTGTGTTCACTACTCATTATCGAAAATAAGATGTACGCAGTGACACCTGTAACTCGATAATGTTTTCTATTGTTTATAACTCGTTGTTGTACTACCCTCACAAGTAATTAAGCTGAACACGTGCTGAAATTCACTGGCGTCACAAATTTTGTGACACTCCTAAAAATACATTTTTAACTATGTATGCAGATATCAATCAGTGATTATTCGATTATTTGACTCTGATTATTCCTGAGTTGTGAACTCAATAATCCAACTTCCGACACCGAAATAAATTAGTTTGTGTTTTCATGCAGTATTTTTATGAACTGGCGGACGGACTCGACGGTTCGGATTGTGCGGCTCAAAGCGTCACGCAAGAAGGTGAGTTGCACTACCAATTGGAATTCGCAGTTTCCTTCCTGGTGTATTTTTTCTTCACTGAACCATTTTGTAAATGGAGGAGCTAATAATATAATGAAATGCTTGAGTCAAAAGAAAGAAGAAGAAAAAACTGTTGTTGATTGAGCCTCAGAAGACTCGCAATGATCTGAAAAGACTGGTTGTGGTGGTGGCGAGTATTGTTTTGTACAAAAGTTTTAAATTGTTCAAAACCTCGAACTGGGAAAGCATGGTTGAATACGCGTAACACGTAATCCTTGAATTGAATCTGGTCGGGATTTGGGGCTCTTACTTACTTAATGGATGGATCATTTTGACAGGGGATGAATTTCACACATTCAGCATTTCCACGCCACAGCGAAACAATTCTAAGAAGAAGAAGAAGCGATCATACAACCATTGTTGCAAGTCGCCAAAAATTGCGAGGCAGCACATGATATAATAATGTTGTCTGATCCCCCTCACACCACAACCACATCCAATGAACAAAGATTGAGGTGTTATTAGAGGTAATAATCTCTCTGGGGAAAAATACTTTAATGTTATGACGTTTACTCGATCCGAAGGCGAAGCAAACTTTGATGTGAATGATCGCTTAGACTGAAGGGGAAGTAATTTCGGAGTGCAGTCAGCAGGAGTGGAAGTGAATTACTTGTTACACGGCTCCATACTTGCAGCTTTAACTTTCATACACATCTTGTGGCTTCACGCTCATCTTGCAAATAAATAAATAAATACATGAATGCATTGTGGAGTCGGATTTTATTACTACTTTTTTATTACCTTTCAACTTCAACCCGTCACGAGTTTTGGTGGAGTCGAACTTTCATTTGTACTTAGACAGCAACTTGTCAAGATTATTTGACAATTTATCAGTCTATAAGGTTACGACAAATGCCCGAGTTACAAAATAAATTTTCATTTTTATTAGCCTGAGTCAGGGCTCATGGAACCGTCATGTCCGTCCGTCCGCTTGTCTTTCAATAACTTTCTAACGAGCTGACCGATTGACTTGAAATTTTTACCATGTATGTACATATTGGACAAGTTAGGAAACGAGTTCGAAGATGGGCGAAATCGGTCAAGTGGTTGACCGGTGGGGGTCATGTGAGTAGGTGGGATAAAATTTCGAAATTCAAAATTGTCGTAGAAAGCTGAAATTTAGTACAGAGATAGCTAATGACTTCTAATAGAAAAAAATGAATTTAAGTTGGAAAATTTTTCATCTAGATGGGGTTACCCATACTGGTTTTTCAAAATGGTCGTATCAAGCTGGAATTTGGTAGAGAGGTTGCTTATGGGGCATAATGGAAGAATATGAAATGATATTGGTAGAATTTTATTTTGAGGGACCCTATGGGGTGACCCATACCGATTAGAAATTGCTTGAAAAACATTAAATCCGGCACGGTAATACTTAATGACTTTTCATTAAAGAATATGAAGTTAAAATGCCAAATAGTAGAAAATATCTAACAAACATTTAGCCATCCACACCACGGAGGTTGGTAATATTATCATGTCGGTGAATTCGAAAAAAGAAGTGAGCTCGGACTCACCGAGTCAGGGCAGAATCCCTGACTCAAATGGACTCTGCACTGTAGATTTCAAAAAATATTATATACAATGGGAAACCTAATTTTTAGGCCTTTTCGGATGGGCTTATAGATTTGTCAAGGTGCGCACGATAACTCTCTTTAAACAGAAGCTAGCGACCTGAAATTTTGCGAAGTTCATCGTCGGGTCAAAAGTAAGGATGAGTTCAAAGATAGGCATGGTCGGGTAGGGCGGTGGGGGTCATTTAAGCGGTTAGGGTTGACTGAAAAAAATATTAAATGTCATAGAAAAGTCCCAAATTTGTCGTAGGAAGTTGACATTTTGACAATGGGTAAGACCATACGGCTTAATCCATACAGATCTTTCACAAATATGCCACTCCACCAGTCAATGGTGGTTTTGACCGACAACCGCAGAGTCTGACTCGGGCTAAATAAAGGCTGCACACTGGAGATTTCAAGTTTACTATTCGACATAGTATCCTCAAGATTTTTAGCTTAAAAAATCAATCAAAAAATTACGATGATTTCATCCTCAAGAACTAAGTATCTATGTCTGCCCATTCAAAAGTTATAAGGATTTGTACTTTTTGGTACTTTTCACCATCGACAAAGTGCCAATTCAAAAATGAATATTTTTTTTGTAACTCGACCATTTGTCGCAACCGTTAAGGGAGAAGCGTTACCTAGATACTTAAGGTCAAGCAATCGTGGCAACTTGTGGTATTAAATAAGTGCAAAGGTATGGAAACAGTCAGGAAACGAACTATGCAAAATGAAAATTACAAATTTTCTTTTAAAAAAAGTTTGCCATTCATCTTGTCTGACCCCTGCAAACTGATATCTCTTGCAATGCTTATGGGTACTGCTGCTTATCGGTACATGTACATATGTACATCATTATCAAGAAACTTAGATGATCAAGGGGAGCTTTGTAGAAACCGGTATGGTTCATCTTTAATTTTTCACCCATTTTCATGCGTTAGTTTTCTCATGACGGGTTTTCAGAATTTTTGTTGCACCAAGTCTTAAACCTATCGGTCATGGTGTTCTAAAATGGTGCAATTATTTTTATTGCAGCTTAATTTCAACGTCCATATGCACCTTGAGCATGACATTTGTGGTGTGATTGCAATACCGATAAATAGGAAGACAATAGTTTGGCGAGCAATGACAACAATTAAACAATTAGTGACGACGAGTTTTAATTAGAACACGAATTTCCTTACCGAGACGAGGTATATAGTGGGACGTGATACTTTTATTTGCCAATGAACTAATGTAAATAAGTATGACGTGTCTTTCATTTCGCAGACCAAAAGGATTGCACAACAGTTACAATTTATTTTATTTTTAGCTTTTTATTCAAAAGACATTAATAAATAGATAACTTCAACATATTCAATGAGTAATAAATTATTAACCACTAAGAACACTAATAAGAATAAATATAGCCGGAAGCACCCTCTGATTATGCAAAAATGTTGGTTTTAACAATACACATAATTAAAAGCAGATGTCTTTCGAGTGTTACGATGAACATTACCAGTTTTGGAATGTCTAGAACCGTAGTCTTTTTTTTCGAGTCCAGTTTATGTCAGATTTCCTTTTCGACGTCAAAATTAATTTTATACATATAATTCGCATCTTGTCGAGAATGACGACCTACAACAGATGTCTCACAACCACATAACTTATCTCGGAACAAATTGTACCAGTATTTACGTTTGGATGAATTTGCGCAATTTAATAATAATCATAATAATAATAATATCATGACACGAATCTGATTCAACAACACATTGTGCTGATCACAACACCTCATCTCCATTATTATTGCATTGAGTGATTCACCCGTGATTAACAGGCATGTCCCTAATATACATGATCTATGTCGGTCAGTTTTGTTCATTACAAGAGAGACTTATTATCTGCCTACCTGCAGGAATGATGAATGAGAGGTTTCAAGAAGCACATACAAATACACATTTAAGCTGAGTTGGCAAAAAGGTGGTAGTGGACAATGGGCAGATTTAGCAATCCAAACAAATCGAAAAGATTGTTTGTACATCCATTCCAACCGACTTGGTAAATGTGTTGGACTCGAATTCACAAGTTGGCTATTTAACGCTGAGAAATGAAAATAAATGGAAAATAGCAAAGTCATGCTGGACCTCGTCTTACAATGGCAATGCACCAAATATGTGGCACACTGGGTCTCAAATCTTTGAAAGAAAACTCAATAATATTTCCTGCTGCTCATTAAAAGTTTGCAAAAATAAATGCGAATCTCACACAACTGCTGTCACTGACCATTCATTTTAATTCGAAATGTTTCTTTCACTTCAAACTTGAACAATGACATTGACAATAAATGGCAAAGTTAATTCAATCCTTTAAAGTCGTAAGAAGCTAATTCGGACGGATTTCAAATACATTCAAATTATTTCCTCATATGTATGAGCACACTTGGCATGGTTTTAATACGACATTCACACACACACACATTATTCAGTTACATTTAGAGTGAGCAAAAAAATAATTGCAGCAGGGGCTTAAATATTATGTTGATTCTTTTTATAATAAATAATACTGATCGGCAAATGTTTCGTCCATGTATGAAAATAAATAACAAATAAGCCCACTTGATCTAAAACCACATTTCACGGTCAAGAAATCAATTACTTTTTTAGTCGAATTTATCAATGCTTGGATTTGTTTCTGCTAATTCGCGAATCTTGCGGAGATTGCGAAGAGTCATGTGCCTCGAGGAATTTAGACTTGAGCATGGAAAACGCCTTGGACTTCATCAGTTTGGATACAATTTCTGTCACCTGCGTCGCAATCGATTTTCTTGGCTTTTTCTGGTGAATCATTTCTAATTTGTTCAATTTCTTTTTGATTGTGGAAAAATCAAATTTTGGCAAATTTTTTATATTTGGATTGCTAATATACTCAAATTGTACTCTGTCAGTGTCTAGAATTTGAGTATTGTCTAAACTGCGCCGCTTTCTCCCGACGGCAGTGGCCCCAATCATGGACAATATTAATGGGGACGCTGCCATGAAGCTGATCAGGGATAAACCAATGCGTGGGATAATTTGGCTTCTTAGGAAGTCCATCTGTAATGAAAGTACAGACATTTAATGTAAAATCAATGAACAATTTAAGCATTATACGGTACTGCAGTTTACTAACTAACAATGCAAAGTTCTTGACGGCTAGACTCGAATTTCTACCGGGCTAATTTCATGTTTTTTTGTAAAATTAGTCCGGTCGAAATCAGAGAGTAAACATTGTCAGTCGGTCATTATGCAAATTATTATTTTTTAATATATCCCGACGCCGGGTAAAATAATCAAGAAACTAATCTTACCAATCCCAAGTTGGTAAAGGAGATGGTGGGGAAAGGGTACATTAAGGGGGCCGGATTTCTATGGTAGGTTGTGGTCGTGGATGGTGTCGTTGTGGTTGGATTGCTTAGCGTCATGGGAGTCAGAGGACGTTTGGGAACGTAAGGGTTTTTTGGCTTGGCCGTGATTCTGGAGAAAGCCATGGGACGTTTGGTTGTCACAATTTTCTTCACCGGCAATTGGTATGGCCATTGGGGCTTTTTTGTGGTGTAAGCATAATCAGCTGCAACTTTAGTCTGAGGGTCGATAACTTTGGTTTTGTAAATGGTGTGCGTAGCATCCGTCCCGATCTGAAAAAAAGTTAATCAAATATAACCCTCTGGTATTTCAAGTGCCTTAGCATTTTTTAGCTACAGATATAATGCGGCTAGTAAGAAAATACTTGAGTATAATTTATACTGTGTAAATATATTTATCATGTAAAATGTATACATACCGCCTCTGCAGTAATTTCGGCGAGAGGTTGTTTCACAAATTTGGATGGCTGAACCACCTTCTTGTTTTTATGGTAAGGCTTTCTCCTCTTCGAATTTAGCATGGGAACAGTCGAGGTGGATGCAGATGTTGATTGAACATTTTTTGTTGTCCGTGGAATTTCAGTGGTGGGTTGGTTAGTGGATGACCTTTCCTTTGTTACGAGGTCAACACTCGAAGTGGATGACCTGTCGACCCCGTTGAAACTCAGAGCCCCTGAAACAGTGTACTCGCTTGGAATTTTCTGGACGGAGCCCTTAATGTAAGACCCTCCACCTCCATTCACGGCACTCCAAGTGGTCAATCCTTTAGGTGTGGTTGGATTCCCGTCGGATTTTTGCTTGTCCGTCATCTTGTCCTCAATCTCCTCATCATGCCAAGTGCTGATGGAGGCAGTCTTGGGGTCATTGGTGGGACTTGCCTCCTCGTCACTGGTCATTTCGTCCGTCTCATTCTGATCCGTCGAGGTTCCATCCTCATTTTTGTTGCCTTCAATGAAAACATCCCTTTCTGAAGAATTTTCCAAGGATTCGTCTGCCTTTTCCAACAAATGTGATGTCATTGAGTTGAGAGACTGGGCCAAGTTTGTCCCTTCACCATCGTCATTCTCTGTCTCTGCCTCGTCAGAAATTTCTTCCGTTTTTTCCCACTTGTGTAAACGTCTGTTGTTCCTTCCAACGTCAATACGGTCAGTGGTCCGTCCGTTCGTCAAGTCTTTCGTACTGTGAATAGTCAAATATTCAGTCAAATTATCATAAGTATTTAAAAATTAAAATAAACTAACAATATTATTGCACAATTTTATATTGCATTTTTACAGTTAATGAGTCGCATGTTAGTACGTAAGTTAAATATATATTTCCCATTATTAAATCAATGTTATTGCACTTTAGCCCCCGTTAAGTTATTCCCTGTACCCATTACCCATTATTATTAAGTAGTTTAACTATACATAGATTTACATATGTACAACAACCACCACGCCAGGTGTATTGACACCAACCCATATTACAGAGAGCGTCTTGAATGACGATGATCACGTGCATTTTTTATGTATGCGCAATTGAAGAGACATGTTGATGAGGCTATATTGCCAGCAAAGGTTGATTTCTTTGGTTTAAACAAATGGATTAACCACGAGTTGAGATCAATTGTGCCAAATGTTTCTCGTCGTTGTCGTGATTATTGCATTAGTGCGTATTCATTAAAGTCAATGTTGATTATCTCAGCAGATTGGATGTAGTACTCCCCGCAGGGGACAAGCACCAAGCGAGATTGAGTGAGACAAGTCGAATTGACAAGTGCACAATAAATTGCGTGTTGAATGTGTGTTGTTGAATGATTAAGCAAATTAGATAGTTTGACATCTCTTATCTGCGATGTGTCATTCCATTATGGATTATGGATGTTCGCCACAGGGGCGACAACAACGCTTGCTCATTTCATCCACGTCGTCTCATCTTCGTCCTTTCTTCCTCCCATTCAATCCGTCGCCTACGTGTGATTTGATTTTATCTCTCGGTTTGTGTTTTGTCATTTATTTAATTACTCCGCTCCCATTTCACCATCATTAATATCTACATTTTTTGTGCATCATTTTCGAATATGATTGAGTTTGGCCGTTTTTATTGAGCATTCCCAAAAATGATGGGAAACCAAAGGGGGAGGAGTGCTGCTGACGTGTACGAATTTTGCGACTGTTCAATCGCTTCGGCAGCTTTCCTTCGAGCCAAACGAAGTTTTAGCTGCTGATATTGTTTCAGTTTTTCGTCCAATCCGGAAGGAGAATTTTTGACCCAAGAGTTTTTCGTGTTGGGAGTGACGAGTAGACTGATGTTTTGTCCTTGCGGGACAAAGGTGGCAAATTGCTGATACTGTGGGAGCAGTGATGATGAGGGTGATGCGGTTACGACCTGAGGTGTTGATGACAGCATCGGTTTATTTTGATTGTAGTGGATGTGATGAACAGTGGGAGTCGGACGAAGTGGTTCCCCTTTCTTGTTCACCATTACGACTGAAGAGGACGAAGAATGAGGAATAATGACGACTGGCTTCTTGGGCTTTGTCGACGAGGGAAAAGAGCTGAAATAGCTGCTGCTGCTGATGTTACCGCTGTTAGTGCCAACATTGCTATTGGTGTCGAGATTATAAGATGATGACGACGACGAAGAAGAAGAAGATCCAAATTGTTGGGCAAGATTAGGCTGATCGTAATGAGGGTTTATATGTTGCTGGGGATGAGGCTTTGATGAATCTGCTGCGGTAGGAATGGCCCATTCATTAGTGAGAACGTTTTTCAGAAAATTCTTAAGCAACGGTACATCTGCATCTTGTGGTTCCCCATTACCCAAAAATCTATTGTTGGTGCTGGTAGTATTGTGTTTTTTGTCAGGATCATTCTGATGATGGTGGTTTGGTGCCATCGTCGTCGTCGTCTTCTTCACACTCGCCACGGCCAAAGTAGGTGATGCCTCGGTGATTTTAACTTTGATCCACTTTTCACCATCATCATTATCGCCACTGGGATTGATTGTTGATTTTGGCTCCATTTGTCTTTCTGAGGACAATAATGAGTTTGTGCCATTTTTTATTGTCTCCTTAATCGGTGTTGAAATATTGACGATGGGTCCTTTTCTTGTGAGTGTGAGATCAGAACCTGGTGTGGTTTGCACTCCCAACTTCTTCACATCACCGTTGCTCCCACCACCACTACGCTGCTGCTCTTGGAATGGCTTATAAATTGTTGTGGTAGTCGTATTAAAACTTCTACTGCTGCTCGTCTTTCCAACGTCCATGTTGTCGAACACGGAACTAATTTTAGCATTTCTGACCCTCTGTCTGAGTGGGCGAGCATCTCTTCGGCGTCTCTTTTTCCCTAAAAGTGGTGCCCAAAACGGCCACGTAGCTGCTGCTCCAGCCGCAATCGTGGGCAATGCACTATAACCAATGGCTGCCATGACCTTGCGAAGGCGTTGAGGGTGACTAACCAATTCTTCCGGAAATCCTCCTTCCGGGATTTTTATTCCAAATTTGGAGAAAGCTGGAGGCTTCGAAGTACTGCTTGTTCCATTATTTCGCTCCATGCTGCTCTGACTATTTGCTTGCTCTGATGACGATGACGAGGTGGCATTATCCGTTTCGCTAATGGAATTGTGTCCTAGCACGAATTTGGTCATATTGAACTGATCCCAGAATTTGTGTTCATTCTTCAAACCCTGAAGGTGTTGAAGGAAAGTTGGCATCGGGGCATGTTCAGTTAAATTGTGGTGATGATTACTATTACGGTGGAGAAATGGACTAATTATCGTTTCTTCAGCCTCCATCATTGAGTCCACTTTATCTTCAGAGTCAATGAAATCTGGGTCATCGTAGCTTTGATTCAGAGACTCGCCAGACCCAGCTGCCACAAATATTTTTTTGTTGACGACGATTTTCTTCTTATCACTTTGCGTGACACCTTGCAGCCTTGTGGCCATCAACTCATCAACCTGACTTTGTGCCTGATGATGAGGAGAATGAGGATTTTTCCCATGTGCCTCAAGTATCCAGGCCAAGTGAGCCAATTGTGGGGGCAGCGGGGCTTCCGTAACAGGAGAGGTTGCTGTTGCAGCAGCAGGTGTGGATTTAAGATAAGCCATAATATCCGCATGATTTCCCAATGGTTTTTTCCTATCTACCAACCAAAATCCACTGGGAACACTAGGTTTGGGTGTGGGTGATATTGTTTCATGCAATAAGTCATGACTCCCACCTGGGTCTCTGCTCTTGTCTGGGAGAAAGTCGGAGAAATACTCCTTCATCGGGATTAAGCTGGGTGACCCATGATTATGAGTGGCGAGAGAAAGGGATTCCTGCTCATTCTTCATCACATTGTCACCACCACCACCGTCATCATTGCCAACACCCGGTGGGTATCCATTAGTCTTTATTCCAGATGCGGAGGCGGACGATGGTCCATATTGAACCGATGTGATGGAGTCAATATCTCCAGGAAGAAGGTCGAGAATGTTAATTTTGTTGCCGAAAGTGATGGGAACGGGTGTGGGTGCTGTCCACAAGTGATCCTTCAGTCCGGAAGGCACCACCGTTGACTTGAAAGATTTAACCGGTGGTCTCAACATGCCGTTGAGGGGCGGAGTTCGGCGAAATGGGGGCAACTGAATTGCAGCTTCATTCATCTCCGTCGTTGTCACCCGGTTATTTGAAGAAGAGGAAGCACCACTCCCAAAGTCTTGAGAATTCATTAGTTTATTCAGTATCATTAAATGCGGAGCTTTATTTTGGTTATTATTATGATTATGGTTATTATGTCCAGGTTGAACATTTTCCAGCAGCACTGGTCTGATGTCAGAGGAGGAGAAAGTGGGGAAGTTTGAGAATTTTGTAGGAATCTTGGGATTAATCTTGGGGTTCGAGCCATTGAAATTGAGAACAAAAATGTTGATAATGTTGGTTTTCGTGATGGCGTTAATACTCGTGGGAGCACTGCCATTTGCCACAAGATGATGAAGTGCTTGATGAAATTGCAAGTTTGGATGGTGCAAATTCAGGAAGCCAGAACCAGTTAGAGGAAATCCATCGGGTGTGTTTAAAGCTGACTCGCCTCCCGTTAATGCATTATGATTATTGTTATGATTATTATTATTAGAGCCATAATGGTTCCCCTTGTTTAAGAAACTCGTGGTGCTGTTCTGTAATTGAAATGCCCCTGCTAATTGTTGCATGGTTGGGGATAAGGGGGAATTTGTGTTCGAAATCATCGTTCTCAGTAAGGATTGGATCTGAGGAGATTTCAGAAACAAGAGTTTTTGCTTATTATTCTCTGAATTTGTGTTTGGATTTACAAGAATGTTGACAATTTCAGTTCCACTCTTATTTTTATTCTCGCCATCATTGTTGATTAGAAGGGAGATTAATCGTTTCAAATCGCTGGCAGATTGTTGAGGGTCTGTGATTTTGAGAATTTTTTGAGTACTTTCAACAACAGGGTCACTGTAGTATTCTGAGGATGATCTTCGTCCCGTGTCGTCTGAAGTTTTAATCGTAGAATCGTCTTTTAAAAAAATTGTTGAAGAATTATTTTCATCAGTTTTCATACTCTGTTCCTGTTTGGTCGAGTTTATTGATTTTTGATCACTTTGCTCTTGACTAGTGTTCACCCTTCTCAACCCTCGTCCAACTTGTTTCCGATGAGTGCGTTGCCCGTCTTTGTTGGCCAATGTGTCATTGCTTTCCTTGAGCGCAGAAATGAGTTCGTGTCCCACGATCACTTTTGTTGTATCGCCATCCTCTGCAGCAGCAAGTGTCGTCTTATTATTGTCGTCGCCGTCATTGTTGTTGTCGTCGTTTGGAATGGTTCTTGATGATTCATACCAAGTGGTAAACGGTGGCAAATCTAGGTCGTTGACAACCTTGAGCGGAGACTCGGGCACAGTTTTGGAATGATTTGCATCATTCGAAGGTAGTGGCACTAATCCTTCGTAGCTTTTAATTACGGAGGAAGACGAAGAATTATGCTGAATGGGACTAGTGGCTTGTGCAATTTTATAATTGTTGTCTGCACCAGAGACTTCTTCTTTCTCTTCTTCTTCTTTATGGTCATTGTCGTCTCTCAGGTTTTTATATCGACTTTGATGCTGACCATCGTTTGAATTGTCATCATTAGTGGCGAAGAGGCTGAGGAATTTTTGCAACTCGTCGGACGTGGGTGACGAATCAGGGGAATTAAGTTTCCATGAGGCGTTCATTCGGTGGATGCTGTTTGAA